GGGGGAATTATTCAAGCAACCATGTTGTTGATACTAAGAGGATTTTTATGAACAAGCACAACTGGTCCTCATTTTTGCTGCTATAGTTGTCTATGTTTGGTTTTATGTTGGTACTTAAATAAGCTAATTAACTTTAATGTTGGTTTTCAGAAATTTTTCCTTTATTTATTTGTTGGTCCATCACTATCTGTTCTCTTATGATTTCGCTCATTATTTTTGTAGTGGATATTGTGTTTACACAATGTTACAATGGATGGGTGGATCAAGGCGGAAAGTGACAACAGTATGTTATGTGTTAACTTCCTTCCACCTTAAACTATCCATGTGAGAGAGCATCCACCAGTTTATAATAGAAGACATTTTTTAGTGTTCATTTCTTTCTCCTCCAAGATATGTTCATCTGTTTGTGGTACTGAAATAATTATTTGATGCATTTATTTCTGACTTTGAAGCCCCTCCCTCTTTGAGGAAAAAAAAAAAATCATACAGAAAGATGTCTTTGTCGGTTATGCCATGTTATTTTGATTTCTAAAGTTGGCATCATGATCATTGATCCCACTCCATTCGTGATACTTGAAATGTTTCAGTTTCATAATTTTCTTATTTGGATGTAAAAGCATCTTGTGTTTTATGTTTTGTACGTCATGGCATTTCATTGCCCTCGGGATGGGGATGGTCACTCGCAGTCAAGAACATCAACTCATAAAAGGTATAAAACATATTTCTACTTTGTCCTCAGATGACTTCGCTCAACTTTTCTTCATCCCTATCTTTGGGTCAATTGTCATTTTTAATATGAGAAGGGGCTAATATTACTTGCCAAGGAATCCAGGCAAAAACAATATTTTGAGCAAAGGAAACGACATCACCAGCACCACACAACTGGCTTTGAGAGCTATGCTGATGGAAGACGCTCATACACAGAAAATAACAGATCGCTTGATATACTTAGCCTGGCAAATGTATCAGCTGCAGCTCAAGAACTCGCAGCCAGTCGTGTCTATGGTAAATTTCAACTTTTGAAATTTAGAAAAGCCGAAAGTTTCTTAGATACTCTCATTCACCCAGGTGTATGGGGTTCCCCGAGATGAATGTCCTTATTATTCTTCATATAGTTAACATAATATTGTATTGTATAAACATGTACTAAATGTCCATGCAGCCAGCTGGTCCACTTGGTCAGACTTGAACATAATGAAATTGTAGATAACGTTTGCTACATCCTCATCAGTTGATTTTAATTTTATTTAAGCTAGAAATTTAGTAAGCTCAGGCTTCTGAGTTAAAATTAAGTTAAATGAGTCGAATAGACCAACTCTCATCATTCATTTCTATTGCAAACATCTATCCCTTTCAGCTCAGCACTTGCAGATGTATCTATTATTCTGCAACTATTGCTAGTTTAAACATGTACCTACATGAATAAGGCCTGGACTGTTCTGTATTAGTAAGTTCTAGAATACACTGATGCTTAAACTTTACTTTTCCGTTTAGTCTCAATTGACAAACTAATTGCTAAATTATCTGCCATCACATGTTCTGTGTGTTCTTGATTCAAGACGAAGGTACATAGAGGTGACTGTTGTGTGAGTTTGGCAATTTTCCTTGTTCTGTTTTTTGTTTTTTGTTTTTTGTTTTTTTTTTTTTGTTTTTAAATCAAGTGCTTTATTCCAAGTCCTAATTTCCTTGTCGACTAAGTCAATTAAGTTCAAATTGTACTCATTGCATCTGATATGTATGTGTCCAATTGTTGATGTAATATGCTAGACCTCTATGTCTATAGTATGTGCTGAGTTGAAACCACACAACTTTCTCTTTTATTTCGTCAAGGCAGGCAATACGAAAAGTAGTTTAGAAATTCGAGAGAGACTTAATTCCGATATCCTTTAGCACAGAATCCATTTGAATTTTTAGTTGAACTTTTTTTTTTTTTAATTATTTATCCAGAAGCTGGGGATAACTCTGAGGATTGTGATTTCACTTCAGACCATCAATACAGACTACCTTATCAAGTTACTCTTGATGCTGAAGACCTTCCTGTGGATCAAGTTCAAATCAAAGCAAAAGGTATGGCTGTCCTTGATCATTATTTTTATTAGGCCATCCACTTGCTGCTTCAGATGGTATCTATTGTATGTTGACATGTGCGAGGCACCATACTCTATTTGTTTCAGGAAGTCCATCAAGCTATGGCACAGAGGCTGTATATTCACAAAAGTAAGGTTTATTCAATGTGGGTATTTGAATTCCATAATGTGATGTCTTTAAATTAAACTAATCTCAAAGTCCAACAAAGAGACTGAGGACAAATGAACAACTTTATGAATATGCATTTTTTATATGTAAGTAAACACAGATTTATGAAAGAGGTAATGTGTATTCTGCACTTCAGTCAATTGTTCTTTGCATGATTACAAGTCTTGTCTAAAGGAGACTTATCTGATATCAGAGGACTCCTTATAGCCTTAGCTTTGCAGGGTTCCAACTCATTTGCAGGACGACAATGAAAATTTACACGGAAATGAGAACAAGCTTGATCCTTTCAAGTTGTCTGCGACTCTCTGTGAGTACCAACATTGATTTGTGGGGTTCTCTTTGGTCTTTAAAATGTTATTTTGTTCCTAAAGTTCAGAAGTGCTATGGCCAGGCTACTGGATCATTTTTATTACTTGCATTTGTTTACCACCGTAGTTGGGGGCTACTTTGTTTAAATAAATTCTGACCATTTAGTTATTTATTTGTCTATCTTGCTCTATTTCAGCAGAGATATCTGTCATTGATTTGCTAAGTGACAGCAGACCAAATACTAAAGCAGAAAAAAACTCAGCTCATGCGCAGGAAGCTCATGTTTCATTTTCAGTTGAAGGTTTTGTTCCATTGATTTGATTAATAATTTGAGTATTCTTACTTTCTCAGTCAGGCATATGGGGAAATAATATTGATAAAAATATCATCTCGTACCTTTTCCTTCTCTCTCTCTCTCTCTCTCTCTCTCTCTCTCAGCTCCTTCGTGATTTGATTAGATTCTCATTTGAAACTCTGGCATTAGTGTTATTGCATATAAAATTTAATGCCCTCCTAGCTTCATAAGTTTTTAGGCTTTACAATTTAATTAAAGCCTATTATAATTGAGAATGGATCTTGTGTTGAGAGACAACTTTTACACTGCAGGTTTAGGGAAAGTGGAAACAGAAACTCCGGTACAGTCACCAACTATACATGGCAGGTAAGTTCAGTGGAGCCATGTAAGTTCAATGGACATACATATGTATAATATATATAAGTGGCTATACATAGTGAATGAATTTGCGAATGAGTCAAGAATAGCCTTTGACCGTGTATTGGCATGCATTTCTCGAAATATTCTGGAAATAAAAAGACAAAATGCTCTGTTTCCTATTTACGGAGGGAGTAGTAGGATCCATTTTCTCATTGCTCTCTTCTTACATTACAGCAGACCATTTCCAAATTATTTGTCTCCCCAGAAAAAAGCAAGGCGACAACCTTCAATATCCAAACACACTAATTATGGTTTTCATGACCCTGAGTCCCAAGTGGTAAGAGCCTTTGCAGTGTCTCTTTAGTTTCACAAAATTCACATAAGTTGTGTTCCATCATATCTTTTTTAGGCATTATAGAAGACAGGAATTTATTATCTTGTATCAAAACAGCATCCAGTAATTGATGAATCATCAAGTTTGGCAACTTTATGTCCTGGTTGCAGAGCAGTTTTGACTAGAAATTTAATCCTCTCACATAACCTGTAGTGTAGTGGTATTTAGAACACAACATTTTTACTGTTTTTATGTTAGAAATGATTATCTATGATTTCGCTTCTCATGGAGAAACATGGAGGAATTGATGCTATAGAAACTCTAGATTGCAACCATGAAATTGTTTTTAGGTATTTGTTACTTTTTAAAAGTTGTTTGAGCAATTTTTGAGAAAAGATTGAAAGTCATAGTTGCAAAAGGAAAAATTGCAGAAGCTATTCTTTAACAAAATAATGAACATCAGCATAGAAATTTGAGAAAAAAAATTAAATTTAGAGTACAAAATTGCCAGAAGTTTATTTCAGCAAATACAAAAAGGAAAAATGAGAATTGGTATACTTAAATGCAAATGCTCGAAGGTTGACCTAGAACTCTGAAGAGTGAAAAGTTCTGGTATTTGTTCCAGCAGTTTGATTTATTACTTCAAAGTTCTAACCATTCTGGCTCACTTATCTGGCAGGATCATATAAATGGATGAATACATAGTTCCTTAGAAATACATTACTGATTGTGCCTACGCTTCTTTCCATTTTATCTGTAAGCTCCATCGAATTTCTCAAACAATCAAATGACAAACTATAAAATATTGTGGTGCAGGATTTTGATATTTCGCCATATTACAGTTCAATAGATCAGACTTTCTGCTCCAAGGACATGATGAATATCATTGGCGATCCAAACCTGATGTTCTCAAATCGCAGATGTTCTTCTCCATTAAACTGGGACAGTAGTAACTCTCAGGGTGCTTTTGACGATGATGAACTCATTTACAACATTCGAGACAGTGGAAGAAACATATGGAATGGTATTATTATTATTTCCAATCTTCGTCATCAGTTACAAGTTCGACTTTATTTAGCTTACTAAGTGGCTTATGAGTTTATCAAGTTAATAAAAATTTAAACATGCATTCACTGCTTAAAGAACCACGTTGAATGATTCAAGCAGGGCTGGAAATTATCAGCTCTACTCTCGTCCAACCACTATAGAGTTCGTGTGATTTTGGGGGAAGCTGATGAAGATTTTGAACCAAATATTGATTGGAAACACTTGTTTTGAGGGTCTGGGAAGAACTCAATATGAATCTATGAAATTGCCAAGTGCATCCAATTTCTCTCTCTCATTACTAAGTTAGATGGGCTGCTATGGTTTTCTGGAATAGTCTTAGACTAGTTGTTAAATTGGAACTCCTGCAGTGTTAACATCTGACTTGAACTTACTGTACATCTGGGTTGAACTTTCTGTACTTCTGGGTTCGTATAAGCTGACAGGGACTTCCCCCAAAGGTTCCACTGAGCATCTATTGGAATCTAACTTCATATATTCAAGTTCAATACGAGTGACCAACGACATGGGAGCAAATTATTGCTCCTTTTCTTTACTATCTTAATTCTTTTGTTTAAAGAATGCACCCTCAGTTCAGTTTTGTGTTCTCATACTGTGTAAGATTGCTGTTTGGGAGAAACACTGAGTAAAATCTGATGTTAATTCTTGATTTGGATATTTACCATCTATATTAATGTGATGAACTTCTCAAGTTGCCAATGATAAAATAGATGTGAATAGATATGAATTTGATTAGCTTCTTTATAGGCCAACAGTTTTTAAGCGGCATTTCCATTTTGTTTAATTGAAACCTTCTTGAAGATTACGGCGTTGATATGCTCTCTCTCTCTCTCTCTCTCTCTCTCTCTCTCTCCTTTTTTTTTTTGGCATTTAGGATGTCCAAATGTTTTCCTCTTTTGTATTATTCCTTACTTTCAAATAAGAAGCTCCCGTATGTATGCCTTTTTTCATTGACCCCACAGGTTTCTGACTATTTTGCTTTCAATAAGGTTTAGTAGTCTTAATTGGTTGATTAATTCTGTAGGTCCTAGCTTCTTAGAAGCCAGTATTGATGACTTGGGAGAACATGAAATATTCTGCAAGAACTGGGATGATCAAGGCAGTGTTACTTGTGATGATTATTTTCGTGACAATGACATATGGAAGCAGGGCTTCAGTTTTGATGGCCAGAGTTTAACGAAGAGAAGGTTGGGTACTTGGGTGTTGCTTTAGTTTCTTTTCTATCATAACCGTGATATTTGCTTTGCATCTGTTGACAAATAATATTTTATGACGGTACGTACAGGTTCAACACTGAAAGAACTGAAATTTTTGATATAAAAGGTGCTTACACTTTTATGCAGAATGTTTATCTTATTATGTTACATCTATCTGAGTTGTTATAAGGAGCTGCTCAATGTTTCTTGCAATGTTTTCTGCTTTCCTGATTGAAACAAATCGATAGTTTAGTGGCATCGAAGAAAAAAATGATCAGACAACCGACAAGAGCCATAATTTTATAATTTCTAGTCTATCTTCAGCAGAAATATTTGTCGGAAAAAATGAGTATAGAATGGGAAGAGAAGTTGAAGTTATTCATTCAAAAGAATTGAAAATAGAAATGCTATATTAGATTGCTAGTCACCTAAAGTTTCCAGTTTGCAGTTTGGTGAAGCAATCAGAATATCAGATTTTGTATTTACTATATAGAGTAAGCTGGTCTCATTAAGAGTCTCCTGTATCTCTCAAGTTTTATGGATTTTTGTTATTTGATGACAGTTCTGTACCTCCATTTTTTTTTTCCTAAAATTAATGTCTCATTATATCAGCTGTGCACTTTTCTTATGGTCTCCTTTGATCAGCTTCACCAGTTCTTTATTCAAAGCATCATACCACTGAAGACCTTTCTGATAAAATCTCAAATACAAGGTGCTTAACGAACTTCTGCAGATAGCTTCTATGATTATATTTGATTCACTCAATGTCTTGTCCGGCACGGTGGCAGGTATTCAGCTGTAAGAATTGATGACGATGTAAAAGATCCTGTTAACCGCTTTGCTAGAGAAGATAATAGAGAAAGCTTGAGCCTGCTGAGGTTTTGCATTCGCCAATTTTGTTCAACCGGAAATAACTATTTTTTATTTCTAACTGATTTGTTTTTATGTCTTACTTTGAGTCCTTAACAGTGAAGAATCATGCTCTTCAACAGCAGGTTACTCTTATTTGGGTTTTGTTATTGTGGTTTTGCCGATCGACTTTTACAGATTATGCTGTAATAATTCTTCTGTTGTCATACAGTGAGGGGTGATGCAACCAGAAATAATGAGCAACACACTAATGCTTTTACCTAAAGTACGTTGTTCCATCTTTTGCTCATCATTTTTGTTTGAATATAACTACCTGAAAAATATGCATGGATCTCGGTTATTGGCATTCTTTACTGATGTAAGCTATCTCCAGTTGGCTTTTCTTGAGGTAGCTTAAATTAGCTGACTACCGAAGCTTAGAATTAGTGGGTGAAGTAAATTTTGCCAGCTGATGATGCCAGGAAGCTGTATCGGACAGTAAATCGACAATAAATGATAACAAGATTTTTTAAATTGTTAATTCTCGGGTGGATTTGATAACATTAGGTCATCAAAGTTATTACAGTAAACAGATAGAGCAATAGAAAGAAAAGAGGAAAAAAAAAGGAAGGAAATGATTTTATTAAGAGTTCTCTTCTAATTATCATACTGAATATTGCATCCAAGTCCTGTATGGTTCAGACTGTATTTATTCTTGCTCCTTACTTTGTTGCTTTGAACGGTGTGCAGGAGTCGGGCTCTTTGATTTCTGTGTTGATGTTAGTTTTATAATGCTTTACTGGAGATTGAATGTGTGGGATCAGTACATAGTGTAACCCGTGGTACATTGCATCAAATTTATATTTGGACTGCTTTTTGGCTCTGCTTTCGAACGTTGGGCATGGTTTCATATGCAAAAAGCTACCGTTGTATGGTTGGGTGATATCTTTAGGATATCTCAAAGTTCTTTATATCTGATTGTTGAAAAAGTTTAAACTTTGAACTTTTGGACCTCTCTTCGTTGCATAGTTGCATGTAGCTGGGAGATTGATGGGACAAACTGAGGGTATCCAATGTATCTGTCAACTGTAATTTTTTCTGTAAATGAACCGAGCTGAGCCGAGCTGAGCTGAGCTGAACCCGCTTTATAAGAGACTCAGATAACATTAATAATTGACCTATTATTCTAAAGAGATAAATGGATGACAAGACAATGTAGCATGTATGAAATATAAATTTGCACACTTTAACCCTTCTGCCATTTCTATACAAAAAAAAAAATAAATAAAAATAATAATAATAATAATAATAATAATAATAATAATAAATAAAAAAAAAATTGAAGAGAGTGGAAAAAGAGCCAACTTTTTCTTTATTGAATAAGGTATTAGAAAATTGAGCAATGCTATAGAGCCCACTTGGATGACAACTTAGATTACAACATAAATGTAAATGTATTATTTTTTAATTTTTTAAAAATGCATTTACACTTGTGTTGTAACCCAAGTTGTCAACCAAATGGGCTAAATAACATTACTCTTTTTTTTTTTTTTTTTTTTTTTTTTTTTTTTTTTTTTTTTTTTTTTTTTTTAATTTTTTTTTTTTTTTTTTTTTTTTTTTTTTTTTTTTTATTTAGTATATATACTTGTGGCTCAAAATGTTGACATAGTTCATTTTTTAATTTTGTATCCAGTCTTATTTTCTTGAATTCGAATAAAATTATTTCACACAAAAATATCAAAGTACAAAAGCATTGGATCTTGTTTAGTTTCATGAAATTTTATATAATATATTTTAGTTTCGGTAAAATTGCATTTTTAGTTCTGCTGGTTTAATGCTGTAGAATTTTTAAACCCAAAATTTTAACTTTTTGTCTTTTAATCTTGTAATTTAGTATTTTATTGCATTTTCTAAAAGACTATAATTGCATTGAAATTAAAAATAATAGGACCAAATAGTAAAAATGTTCAATTTTTAGAACTCAAAACGCCACTGAGTTAAACTAACTAAGACTAAAATTACAATTTTGTCGTTGTTCGTCATTTGTCACAAATAAAACAATTTCAATATATTTAATTAAACACAATTTATTAGTTTTTGGGTTAATTGCTAAATAAACCTTAACCTTTTTGCATTTGACAATTTTATCCCAAACTTTGGGTAATTGCAATATAATCTCGACCTCAATTTACTTATTGCAAGTCGAACTTAAAACCGGTTAGACCTTCAAAAAACTGGTCGATTTGAAGGTGGTTCGAACAGATCGGAGCTCATATTTATCGGTTCACTCCAGATCTAGGAGGATACTCATCACCGGTATTTTACATTGACGTAGAATTTTTGGCTTTGTGCGTTGATATACATTAAATACGTGGATATTGTCAACTTGCTACGTGGATGACATAAAAACCCGTGTCAGTGGAAGACTTGGACACAAAATCGATCCACAAATCCGTAAAATCAATCACTTTGCGCTCAAGTTTGCAATAAGTAAATTGAGGTCGAGATTATATTGCAATTACCCAAAGTTTGGGATAATATTGCTAAACGCAAAAAGATTAAGGTTTATTTACCAAATACCCTTAATGTTTTTAAGAATATAATCGAGTCCGCAATTGCATTGCCCATTCCCTCTTGCAAATTGAAAATTCCATTTCCATACCTACAAAGTCAAGTGACCTTCTCCACAGTCTCTCTCGACCTACCGCCGCTACTCTGCTAACAATGGCGGTCGGCGGCTGTGCTCTCTCATCGGACAACGTCGTCGTGAAGTCCCCTACTGACCGGCGTCTCTACAGATACATACAGCTCGCCAATGGCCTCTGTGCTTTGCTAGTCCATGATCCCGATATTTACTCCAATGAACCTTCGTCCAGTTCAAAGATGGAATGCAGCGAAGATGAAGATGAGGACGAAGATGGGGAAGATGACGAAGAAGACGAGGATTCGGAAGATGATGAGAGCATCGAGGAGGACGAGGAAGAAGACGAGGTGAAAGGATTGAAAGATTCTGTGCAAAAGAAGGTCGGATAAGAAATGAACGCTAGTTGTGTTTGCTTTTGGAATATTATTGAGTTATCGAGATTTATTTATTTTTTTTTTCAATTTGAGATGACATTTGATTGTTCTTGTTTTTCAGGCGGCGGCGGCCATGTGTGTGGGGACCGGAAGTTTTGCGGACCCTTATGAGGCACAGGGACTGGCACACTTTTTAGGTTTTCCCATGTTTTCTTTGAGTTGTATTATTTTTGTTCTTTGCAATGTAGCATTTATTTGGATGTTTGGACAATGAATTAACTAGATGTCGATACATCACTAGATAATTTGGCTGAATACGTTAAATGTTAAGTCATAGAGATTTAGCATCTTTAGAAAGTGATTTTAGAGCTTTGGCATTTGTAAAAATTGATAAAGAACTGTTGAGATAGTTTCCCAGCTGATTTATCCTATGAAAGTCGTAGGGAATGTAGCCTCAGTGGTTTCAAACTCCAAAAGTGTTTTAATACATTTGATGAATGAGTTTATTGCACTCAGTGAATAACTTTCGATACCTTCTGTGGATATGTTCTTTGTGTTCGTGAATGAATATCTACATCCATTTGTGCTCAATTCTTTTATTGCAATATTGCATTCATTCACTTGAGTAGCAGGATAAGAGAAAAACAGAGTTATATAAGCTTTAAAAGTAGTGAAAATTTTATTGCTTATTGAGTTATGTAGATAAAAGCGATAAAAAGAAATAGAACTGGATAACTAAAGCACATCATCAGTTAATCTTGGTATTCAATTGAGGACTATTAGTTGTTGAATATAGGTAATACTTAGCATAACTGAATTGGTGATTCGATGATTTGTTCATAACATATTAAAATTTTTTTATTGCAGAGCACATGCTCTTCATGGGGAGTACTGAGTTCCCTGATGAAAACGAGGTTTGTTAGTTGGTTTTTTATTTTTATTTTTATATATTATGTCTTAATCAAGGATTAGATGCACTTCGTCATTGATAAAATTTAGCCGACCTTTCAATACACAAGGGAAAAGAGGTCTGCTAGAATACCAAAAGTCTTGGAAATCTAATTTTCTTGTCGTTCTCCGCATGTAAGCATAAAGTTCCAAATCTAAGTTACATAGTGACATGAATATGACTAGTGAGTTTGTGCATGACCATATTGTTTTGGTTTTCATGGGTTCCTCTGTTGTTTTGTTTTAAATATGCTCAAGCCGTATTTCACAATTGGAGGGAGAGTACCAGTCTATCTTTTTTCCTGGCTTCCAAATTGCTAACCTGTTGGCCCCTGATCTTACCAAGGCTTTAGGAATCCGATTGCAGCACCCAAGGCTGTGGTCTTTTATCACTATACTCAAAACCTGTAAAGCTAGTCAAATTGCTTCACATTGCCTTATCTTTTGCGCGGGACCATACTGTCTATAAATTCTTGAAAAAAAGGAATCCAAAATTGAAAATAGGTGTAGTGAATGTTTGCTTGACAAAGACTCTCAGATTGTACACTTTTGTATAAGCGAACTGTACAAACAATATCACATAATTATAGGGATTGAATCAAAAAATTCTATAATCAGTATCGCTAATCATAATAAGCTCCTAACTAAAAGAATGAAAGATCATTGAAACTATCCAATCATATCTCAACAATAATCAATATCCAATTACCCATTCACTGCCATTACTCTCCATAATTCAAGCAGTGTTAGAACGGACTGGCATATTGGAGATGAAACGAAATCTCTTTAGCCACTGCACAGTGCATATTATATATTTTAGCATTCTCGTAGATTGAAATATTTTTATTACACCTACTTGTGTAATTAATCCTTTTCAAGGAAAATTAATCTGAAAACTTCTCTTGCATTTCAACTCCACTTAATCATTCTTTGTTGAAAATAGTCCTTGGCTAAAAGATTGCATACATTGAAAATAACTAAGGGATTAGAAACTGAACTAAAGAATATGATAGATTGTTGAATTTTTGAATACATCTTATTCTGTATCCCCCTGTTGATATAATTGTAACTTCTGTGTCCATGACACTTCGATTTTTAAATGTAGAAATTTGGCTTCCCTGATCAATTCTCTTTCTCCAGTATGATAGTTACTTGTCCAAGCATGGAGGCTCGTCAAATGCATATACAGAAACTGAGTACACTTGCTACCATTTTGAAGTAAAAAGGGAGTTTCTTAAAGGCGCTTTGATGAGGTAATGAAACGAGGGTTTTTCTGTTACTGCGAATTTATCAAGTTGCATTTACCCTAAAAACCCAAAGGCTTTGTGCTGGGATGAATTGCAAATGTATTTCTTATGCATAGTATCTATCATAGTATAATAGCATTACTTTTCATCTACAGAACTAGAGACTGGATGGAGGCTCTTTAATTTTTTTATTCATTTAGTTATGCCTTCTCCCTTGTATTTTGATGTTATAATGAACAAATGCCAGTGTAGAAAAGATTTATAGTTTCTCAGCCTCATGAGAGGCATGATATCTTCTGGGACTGGTGCTTGTGGGGATTGTCATACTCACCTTGTCACATGGGTTGTGATTGTCCAACCCAAGGAAGTTTGAGGCCTGCCTATTAGTAGCATAGTTTTTAAGAATATACCTTTATTTCAGAAGTGAGGGTGGCTATCCCATACCAAAAGTGATGCTTTCTTGTGTTCTGCTATGGAAAGTAAATACTGTATGCAAGATAATACCAAGGATGAGGATTAGAACCATGTTTCCAAGTCAAATGTATTTCAATATTAATCAGTTAAAACTGTGTTGCGATACAAAATTAGATTCTGCAGGATGTATGCCTGACCTCTGCCCACTAGCCCAGTTGTGAAGGCTCCAGTCCATTCAGTTTTCTTGAATGGAAGTTAACCTATGACCTCATGATTATTGTTTTTGGAGTCTAGGTTTTAGTGAAAACTTATGTGTGTGTAGTTTTGAAGTTTGTTTTCACAGATTTGTGTTACTACTTTCGGTTCTAAGTTTGACCATTTATCTTCTATCATCATATGATGTAGTGTGATGGATTTTTCTGTTGCAATACCAGTGGTTTGCGTCCATCTGTATTAGCATAAAATTTATTCCTGCAACTGTTACGATGCTATTTTCTCCTCTCCCTTCACATGCATGAATGAGAGTTAAGAGGATGTGTATTCTTGTTTTCACATTATCCAGGTTTGCCCAATTTTTTGTTTCTCCTTTGGTAAAAGCTGAAGCCATGGAAAGGGAGGTGTTAGCTGTAGACTCAGGTTGGTCCACATTACTAACCATGTCTCTCGGTTTGGAGGAAGAATATCTATTTACCATTAGATTTATTTTACCTTTGCTTGCTAGCTGAGGTTTTTGTTCTTTCCAATCACATTATTGGACACAGAATTCAATCAGGCTTTGCAAAGTGATTCCTGTCGCCTGCAACAACTGCAGTGCCATACTTCTGCTCATGGTCATCCTTTCAATCGGTTCTTTTGGGGTATGTTAGTATTCTACTCTTTTTTTGACGTTCTATATAATTTTGTTATTACAATTCCAGTTCACTTTTTATAGGGAATAAGAAGAGCTTGGCAGACGCTATGGAGAAAGGAGTCAATTTAAGAGACCGTATTCTGAAATTATACCATGACAACTATTATGGTGAATCAATGAAGCTAGTTGTTATAGGTGGAGGTTAGTAATTCAATTTTTTTCTGAATTGGTTGTGATTTATTATGTATGTCGAATGTCCTTTGTTGAATGAGATAATTCACTCGAATACTGAGTGTCTTCCAGTTCCAGGTTCTGTCCTTTACGTTATGTTGCGAAGTGAATTGCAACATTTAGTGTGTCAGGTTCTTTCCTTGATTTATTTTAGGAAGTGAACTGCAATGTTGGTAGAGATCTTTGCACCTGACAAGTTATTTTCCGATTCCAGTGTCAAACCTTATTGTCAACATAACCATGGAAAGATACTTGAGTGAAAACATAGGCAACACAGAATCATGTGAAGAGAAAAGACTATTTGAAATGAGAATCCTGTATTGAATGGTCTTAACTACTTGAGGTTTTTCAAGTAGAAAAAAACATAAAAGTTCACCTTTACAAACTATAACTGGACCTGGACTGAGGAGAAGATTATTAACAGAGAACAAAAATGGGGAAGAATTCAATGAAAAATATGCTTGAAAGTTCGGATTGTTCTAATTCTAATTTACTGACTTTATGAGGTTAATGATTGTGGCCATCCCGCAGGCTGCAAATCATAGATTTATATGGTGAAATTTCAGTCTATCACCATTGATGACATTATATGGGATTGGAATTTCCCCCTTTTTCCTGTCTCACCACGCTCATCATATATGCGTCTCAAATGTCAATGCTAGGTCTTGGTAGCCTCTTAGTGACTTTTGTCATGATGCTTACTGTTTGCAGTCTAGAAGGCGAAAATTGCAAACTTTTAGTCCCTCTGCGAAGCTTGTTTATAGAATGTTATCAATCTCAATGTGTCTTGTCCTATCTTGTAGGGAATTGGCTGTCACTATATTTTTACCAATGGTGCTGATGATAACATATTTTCTACATGGGTTTGGAGTACTACATTTCTGTTGCATTTGACTACCTTAAGATTAATTTAAATTTGGAGAAACGAGTTGACTGAGGATGATTAATTATCTAGAACTAGAAATTTCAGGGACATGTGAGTGAGGGTATGTTATCTTGTCTTCTGGATCTGTCATCTGTTGAATTTTACTTGTGCAGAGACTCTTGAAGTCCTTGAAAGTTGGGTTCTTGAATTATTTAGCAGTGTAAAGAAAGCACATTTGGTTAAGCCAGAGACTAGCCCAGACATTCCTATTTGGAAAGCTGGCAAACTTTACTGGTTAGAGGCTGTTAAAGATGTACATATCCTTGATTTATCTTGGACATTGCCTTCGCTAAGAAAAGACTATAAGAAGAAAGCAGAAGACTACCTCGCTCATCTCCTTGGACATGGTAAGATGGTTTTTTTGCTGCTACTACTACTACTACGTATGATGGTTAATTTCACTCAAATGCAAGAATGATGATTATGTTGTGCTTCTTCATCTTTATATATATATATATATATTTTGGTTTATCTTTGTTTCTAGTCTATGCTTCTTAATAGTGGTAAATGCTTTTACTTGTTGGTTCTAGTAACTGAGGCAACTTGATATTTCTTAATAGTCTATGCTTCTTTGTTTTAGTTATTGTTAAAAATTGAATATTTGTGTTCTTGTTTCTGTATTTTACATGTTTCTGTTAGGTCATTTTCTTCACTAAATGGTCGGTCAAGGTTTGACTTGCTGGAGAAAAATGAGTGGGTCTTGCTAAATTGCCTTAGTATACTTGTCAAACATGTACCATTTAATCGATCATATCATCTCTAAAATTAACCACTGTAATTTTGCCTACACAAAATTTGGTGAATCCATTGCACCCAAGTTTGGCTCACGAAGTTAATTCAAAATTAACAAACAGAGAAGAAACAATTGTCTTAAGGCTTCTGCAATAGGTTTTGGCTGCATCCCTTAACCGATGGAAGATCATCTTCTGACTGTTGGAATAATTCCCCATTTTAATCAATCATGAAACTAATATATTTGATTTTAATTTATGAAACTGCAAGAAATTATTCATTGATTAAGGATTCAAATTCTGATTATTATGTAACATTGAAAATCTTTTGTGAACAATACCATTGAGATGCAAATTTCATGGTCAACATTATTGTCACTAGAAAACTCTATGGAAATTCTTGTGCACACACAAACTCATTGTCAAACTCATTGAGTTAGAAAGAGTCAGATTCAAGGACTTTATTTTTTGGTCACACTGGAAAGTATCTTCTCAGGTGTCTACACACCGAGAAATTGTTTTTCTTTTGGCGTGCCCGTCTTTTAATTTCATGACAATTAATTTGATATGGGTGAAATTCTTTGTTAAGTCTGGAAAATTCATTTTGCAAAAGTGCATTCCTACACAAGAACAAGTGAACAACATGCAACCACTATATGGCAACTTGATCAATTATCATTCTTTTGAAAATTATAATCAGATCTATTTCTTCACTCTAGAAATAACCATGTATAGGGTCCATTGCATATGAGGAGCTGGAAGAGTCATTGTTGACAATTCTCCTGGCATAGTGCTAATAATGGACTAGATCAAAATGGCTCAATTAAATTCTAGTGCTTCTTCTATTAGTGAAGTTTCTAGAAAAAAAAATATATCAAACGACGCAACGCACCTTGGGTCGCGATGGAAACAGCCTCCTTGTATAATTACAAGGGTAAGGTCTGCGTACAACTGACCCCCTAGACCCCAACCTGTTGGGAATATACTGGGTATGTTGATGTTGATGTTGATGTTGATGTAGAAATAACTATGTATGACAGTGAAAAAGATGCTAATTTGACACTAATAAGTGGGCAAGTGTACATCGTATGATTCTTTTGCACCAACATCCTTGCAGAATATGGACAATAATCCATGATCCATCTGTCAAAACACCCAAAATGCAATGGAATGTCTTATCTTTGAGTGGAACACAGTGAATCAGATGGATTATATTCTTTTGAGCATACCAACAACATGCAAAATTAAGACCATATACCTTGCATTGTTTTCCTTTCCCTTGGTTTGTGAGTGCCTAAAATTCATATGAGCACATTAATATGCTCATGTCTGAGTCTTCATGTCCATTCTTGACTGCGCAAAATAACATGATTGCAGAGGGCAGAGGAAGTTTGCATTTTTTCTTGAAAGCTAAAGGTTGGGCGACTTCTATATCTGCTGGTGTCAGTGATGAAGGGATGTACCGTTCTTCTATCGCATATATCTTTGGCATGTCAATATACTTGACCGACTCTGGCTTGGAGAAGGTAAGAATTTGATTGATTGACATTTCATTCCATTTATCTCTATTCTTGAGGAGATAGTTTGAAGAATGTTTCGGAAAATGAGAATGAAATTTGAGAATGTGATTGGTTATTAAATGGAAATGTGATGTTTACCGTTTTCAAGTAAAATAGTGAATGAATGCTGATGATAGTTGGTCATATCTATTCATATCTTTATCTTTATAAATTCATGTGTTGTTGACGTGTATATCTTGATTTAATCTTCTCTGAGTGGTATTTAGATCTTGCACCTTTTTATTCGATTTAAATACTTACCTTTGTCCTCCACTATATATGTGGAGTTGCAATTTCCCCCCAACTATTTCCCCCATTCGTTACTGGAGAATATTTTATCTTGTCGTCTCTGATACATCTTCTTCCCATGTACTGCACGTCTCCTGATTCCTGCAAGCCATATTAGCAAAGCGAAAAAAAAAGACAACCTTCTCTTTAGCCACCGCGTTCTCAGTTCCCACCACCCCTTCTTTCTCGGAGAATTCACCATACTTTTATTGGCTTCTTTGGTGCAACCCAGTTCTTCCACTCAACCTCTGCTTTGTGCTGCACATTGTAATGTGCCATTTTTCAAAGCAGTCATCCTCCTGATTGCCATTTGATTTTAAAATTAACGGTTCTTCCTCTCTCTCTCTCTCTCTCTCTCTCTCTCTCTCTCTCTCTCTCTCTCTCTCTCTCTCTCTCACTCTGTAGCACATTTTTGCTTCGCCTGATATCCTCTTGGCAACTCCATTTTCTGTGTCTGCTAGCCATGTGATTCTTAATGCCCCTTCTGATTTTTCTTTCCTGGTACCCATGGTGATCACAATCATGGCTGAGGAACCAAGGTCAGTGCCAATGTTCCATGTTGTCAGGGTGCCTGTTATATTTCTTATCCTTTATTCTGGTCCTTCTTTCGTATAAAGAGCCTGTTATATTTCTTATCATTTATTCTGGTCCTTCTTTCTTATAAAGAAAGAAAGAATTAAAAAGAAACAGAAAGGAGATGAAGGAAAAATTACAACCTTTTATCTGATATAATCTTAAATTATTATTACTAATATATATTTTTTTTAATTTATTTTTTTTCTTGTGGTAAGAACCTTGTAAGGATGCATGATACGATTTCAATGCGGGTAAACATGGTCACTCTGCGGACAACCTTTATAACTCTATGTTAACATTTATTGTGATTCTACTGAAAACATTCCTAATTAAAAATAGACGTGTGATGATCAATTCTATGCAGGATTATTCGAAAGTACCAAAATAGATGGAATAATAGGACTTTTCTGAAACCCATTTCTTCAGTCTAAGTTGCTTCTTAAATAATTAATATGTCCCTTAGTTGTTTAATGTCAGAATTCTCTCTGTGAGTTTTGGTCACCAATCCTTTAGATTTCGGCTCATGAACTTCTTGTACTATTATTATTTGTTGGATTTTGTCACATGTTCAAGCCTTGTAGGCTGCTAATGCTCATCCTTTTTATGCTATCAATTATATAGATCTTTGAAATCATTGGATTTGTCTATCAATATCTCAAACTACTGCGTGAAGATTCTCCTAAAGAATGGATATTTAAGGAACTCCAAGATATTGGAAATATGGAATTTAGATTTGCAGAAGACCAACCTCAGGATGATTATGCTGCAGAACTTGCTGGTATTTTTGATAATCTTTTAAAGTCTGCTATTTTGTTTCTATAATGAAACTGATGGCGAATCATGATGAGGCATGAATGACATCAGTGGTAAATAAATATTAGAAACTGAGTTCAGGGTTGCATCATTTGTATCTTGCATCTTACTTATGATAAGTGAGATATATATTTAGCTTTCTAATGTTTATGATTATGATTCACAGGGAATCTGCTTGTTTATCCTCCAGAACACGTCATCTATGGTGACTACGCATATGAAGTCTGGGACAAGAATATGATTAAACATCTTTTGGGTCTCTTTAGGCCTGGAAACATGAGAGTCGACATATTAACCAAGTCTTTTGAGAAGTCTAACGGTATTTTCTCTCACCAGATATCTAAAATACTTTATTAGCAATGTATGAAGATTGATGGATATCTTACATGTTCTTTTAGTGGATAGAGCAATCTTTATTTATTCATCATAGATTAATAAGGTAGACTAGGTTTTGTACTTTGTAGCAAATATAACTACATGAAAGCTGCCAGCTTGTTTATTCAAGCCAAATCTTCCCACGAAATGAAACTTAGATATATATACTTGTAACCTATTATTGTGGTCATCTTGCATAAGCAATAAACCAGATAAGCTTGCTATGTCTGAGAGAGAATGACACACTTAACCTTTTTAATGAAGCGCTCCTCAGCTTGTACCTCAAGGCCTTAAAAGTACTAGGAATTTGTAGAATCTGGTTTAGTCTACATCAATTACAATGTAATTCGATTTGTGAATGAGATTTTTTTTTTTTGTCCGGTTGATGGCTGGTTCTGTTTTTTATTAGATAGGAATTACAATAGTCAATAGTGTTGATTACTCAACTTTGTTGGTGATGTGTCTTAATTAATGTGGTTGAGAAAAATGGTTTGGCTTCTCAACCAGGTAAAAATTGATTATCTGATTCTTACAACTAAAACCATGGCTTAACATTCATGTCATTTGTAAAATTTTTCTTACAGCTGTAAAATATCATTACCATATTTTTTAAAGTATATAAATGAACTGCTAAGGCATTAGGCAATTTCATTGGTAAAATTATAGTCCTATCTTGTATTTTTCCAGAGTGTATGGTCAGCTCGTTGTTCGTTAAGTTCAATAATTTGCTGAATAATGTTGATCTTCCTACGTCCTTCACGTGGATTTCAGATATCCAGCATGAGCCATGGTTTGCGTCGAAATATGTTGAGGAAGATATTCCACTGCATCTGATGGATCAATGGGAAGATCCTCCTCAAATTGATTCCCTTTTACATCTTCCCTCCAAGAATGACTTCATTCCACGTGACTTTTCCCTACGCAGTGACAGGGCATCTTGTCAGGCTGAGGATGCATCATCTCCAAGATGTATACTTGATGGACCTGGGATCAAGTTGTGGTACAAGCTTGATAAGACTTTTAATCTTCCTCGTGCAAACACATATTTCCGTATAAACCTAAAAGGAGGATATAGTAATATAAGGAATGCTCTGTTGACTGAATTATTTGTATTGCTCCTGAAGGATGAGCTTAATGAGATAATCTATCAGGTCCATCCTTGCTTCATGCGTTGTGATGTTTCTATTCATTTTCATATGAATGCTGATACTTTAAATTGCAATTATTGATTTACCTAATGATTTGAAGACAATAATTTTGGGTTGCAGGCCAGCGTTGCAAAGTTAGAGAGTTCAGTTTCTCTATATGGCGACAAGTTGCAGTTAAAGCTTTATGGTTTCAATGATAAACTCTCAGTTCTTTTGTCTAAGATCCTGGCAGTAGCTAAGTCTTTTTTGCCTAAGGAGGATCGCTTCAGGGTATGATATATTGCTCTCTTCTTAAAGGGTGTATTATGAAGAAAAAAGAAAGCAATAACAGCTCTATCATGGCCTCTTAGCTCAAGATGGAAGAGTGTTGAACTTGAATGCTTCAAAGATAAAATCTCGAGTTATTTGATCATAAACAGCACATTCAGATGCTATTTCATTCTTGGTGGTTTAATAATTGTTTCTACTGAATATATATGTTCTATTTTGTAAAAGAACACCATTACTGAGTTAAGTTCTGTTTCCTCCTTATGTGTTTTTCTTATGTATGTAGTGGTGAAATCTAGAGTGTAAAAGATCGAAATAAATGATTTGCAAGTTAACCTTTTTCATGTCAGTTGTAGTAGGTACTGGTTAGCATATTAATGTTCTTGTGGCATTTCCAAGAAAGGAAAATCATGTCAAATTTTCAACTTCCGATGAATGTTTTATTTCACAACCTTTTTTTTTGTTCTCTTTGTTTTTTTTTTTTTTTTTTTTTTTTTTTTTAATGAGTGTATGAAGTTGTTTCTAAATATTTACATTTGCTTGTGGTTGGTTTTGGACAGGTTGTTAAAGAAGATCTTGAGAGGACTTTGAGAAACACCAACATGAAGCCTCTAAGCCATTCTTCTTATTTGAGACTGCAAATTTTATGTCGAAGTTTCTGGGATGTGGAGGAAAAGTTATGCTTGTTAAATGGTGTCTCCCTTTCCGATTTAAAGGCTTTCATTCCTGATCTTCTTTCGCAGGTAGGTATCACATATCGGTACTTAATTTTATGTTTTCATATCTTGGTAAGAGTATAGTTATATGGGAGACCGTGCTATATATTAGCTTCTGTGGTTAGAAAGAAATTAAGTAATTAACTTTGAGGATCAAGGAAAATGCAAAAGGTGTGGGATAGGGTGGTCAAGTTTAAAGTTGGCGAATTCCAAGCCATAGAATTCAAGGTTTGTGCTGTATGATTGGAGTTGTTACCTCGTAGAACCATGAAATATTTGGATTTTTTGCATCTCATTTTATTTTCTTTTTTTCATCGACAACATCTTTTGCACATCATCACCATCACCGTCATAATATTTATAACGAGGATGACGAGGTAATGGTGATGCATACAAGTGCAAAGCATCCACCATCGAGCGGACAGCTTTGTTTTCTATTATCTCCTCCAAAATTAATATGTACTGTGTCCTTTAGGCATAATATAATAATTATATTTAAACAAACTGATGAAACATGCCAGACTTTTAATTAGGAATCATTGTAGCATTAATCAAGCTAAACAGATCTCCCATTATATTTTTGTGAAGGAAATGAAAAGAAACGGTATCATCAGGTGCATTGAATTCATGTCCTTTCAGGACTTATGTAACCAGCAGTTAGGTTCATCTGCCACATGGAGCCAATGCTGTTTCTACGGCAATATAAATTGGGTATTCCGGGTATCACTGGGAACCAAAGATTTTAAATAACTCCTGAAGCATATAAAGATACACATACCGAGTGTTGAAGAACCACTTAGATTAGGACAAATAATGCTTTTCCTTTAACTGTATGCATAATGTCTAGTCTTAATATTCATTTTCACTCCCGTCTGGGTCTGTGCAGTTGTACGTTGAGGGCCTTTGCCATGGGAATTTGCTGGAAGAGGAAGCTATTCAGATATCAGACATATTCAAAAGTAATTTCTCTGTGCTGCCACTTCCACTTGAACTGAGACACATGGAGCTTGTAATGTGTCTTCCTCCAAGTGCAGACCTCGTTAGAGATATAAGAGTGAAAAATAAGCTAGAAACAAACTCAGTGGTAGAGGTAACACAAAAGCCAACGTACATGACTTTTAGTACTTGTTGCTGAACACTTTAATATACTTATATTTCTTTTTTCCTTGATTGTAATTTTATTTCTTTCTTTGTTTTTTGGCAGCTTTATTTTCAGATTGAACCAGAAGAAGGAACAAAGTTGATTCAGTTAAAAGCACTTATAGATCTTTTTGATGAAATAGTTGCAGAACCACTTTTTAATCAACTGAGGTATGTTCGTGTTTTATTGAAGATCAACAAACAAGTATTGCAGTTGAGATGTTATACACCTTTATTTATTTCCTTCAGAAGACATGAACAAGAACTCTCTCTCTCTCTCTCTCTGTGTGTGTGTGTGTGTGTGTGTGTGCGCATTTGTGCACTCAAGCATTTTCAAACATGCCTGTTTAGAGATGCAGAATACATTCATGTTTTCTTGCTTGTTTGGTACAGGACAAAGGAACAGCTTGGTTATGTTGTTGACTGTGGGCCAAGAGTCACTTACCGGATTATAGGATTTTGTTTCCGGGTTCAATCTTGTGAATATAACCCGGGCTACTTACAAGGGAGGATTGAGAGCTTCATAAATGGCTTAGAAGAGATGTTGGTACGCTTACAGTTTGGTTTGAATTTCTGTAGTTGTATGAATGAGATCTATTAACTTCACATTTGCATATTCGTACTAATATACTTTGTCCATTTTGGATATTTATGCTTTGTCGTAGTTTGGGGGATAATGGGATTTTTGGAGTTAACTGATTGGTACAATATATATGCATAGAATGCCAAAAGGCTGATTAGATCTGAAGATTACTGCACACGAAAGCATTCCTTTTTGCTGCACAAGCATAGCATGTGTCAATAGGGCTATTCTTTTGCAATTTAAGACAATATTTGTCTTATAAAAGATTTGTGGTGATCATTTTTTATTGTCAATCTCAGAAAGTAGAGAATAAATAGGTGTGATGACAAACTAATCTGTTTGTGGCTTTGTGCGTCCACAAACTGAGTCTCCTTCTCATTATAAATTATTATCGTTATTTTATTATTATTCTTCTTATGATGGTGATGATGATGACGACGACGACGACGACGACGGTGACAACTATGTTTCTATTGTCTATTGTTTGTTGTTCTATAGGTCTCTTCGGACAAAATTAGATAGCATTTTTATCCATATCGCCAAAGCCTATCATGTGATGTTTTTGACTGAATATCTGTTGATGTGCAGAATGAGCTTGATCATGAGTCATTTGACAATTATAAAAATGGTTTGACGGGAAAGCTTCTCGAGAAAGACCCATCTCTTTTATACGAAACAAATCGTTTCTGGGATCAAATAACAGACAAAAGGTAATTCATTGCTTTCGCTTTTTATGCATGAAAATTTGAGGCTTCTTTAATTGATAACTATAGGTAACGGTTGCATCTCAACCGTTGAGCATATGCAATGTATTTTTGTAGGTTCTGAATACAACCGGTCAGCCATTTTGATAGGTTTAAAAATGTCCTTTCATATAGTTATTTTTAAGTGTGTTGTTTTAAAGTACCGGTGGCATGTGAAAAGCTGCACTTGAGCTTTGAAGATAGCTTGAACATCTTGAACTGTCGCAAAGTACTTTATCAAATTCACATTTGTGCCAGTGAAAAATCCTAAAAAATTTCGGGCATAGCCTGATGACTCATGACAGATGCATGACCAATTTAGACGTCAAATGCTCGGGTGAAACTATCTATCGGCTAAATTCATCTTCTCTCCGTGAATTTGTCTTTTCAGGTATATGTTTGACTTGTCTGCAAAGGAAGCTGAGGAACTAAAAAATATTCAGAAGGGAGATATTATCAATTGGTACCACACTTATTTACGAAAACCTTCTCCCAAGTGTCGTAGGCTTGCGGCTCGTGTGTGGGGCTGCAACACGGATTGGAAAGATGCAGATTCAAAAGATGCGTCTCGACAGGTCATTAAAGACCTTGAAGGTTTCAAAAAATCTTCTGAGTTCTACCCAAGCCTTTGCTGATAGTAAAATCTTCATTGGTCGACCTAATTGGGGCTCTGAATTCATCCACTACTTCATCCATCATATGCTTTGATATCAGGTGATGATTGGAGATCAACAAAACAAAGTTTTGCCTTTTTATTTATGGTGATGATAGCTGAGTTGACTAAATTAATAATGAATATCATGTTGAAAAACAGAGTGTACCTTTTACTAGTCCAAATGGACATTATTTTTATGTGGATTACCAATTTTACCATTATTTATTTATTTTTTGGATGATATGCATTTGAATGGAATATTTTGAAGTGAAGAATACACCACAGCATCCATACCAATTTGTATAACAAGAAAGGAAGACTTGTCCTATTCTTTTTTTTTTTTTTTTTTTTCTCTAATAAAAACAATATTATAACCTCATAGATTAAACAGATTAATGAAGCCTAAATTGAATGAGAGGATGGTATTATTCAGAAGAAGCAAACTCTACAAAACCAATTACCTCATAAAACTAAAACACAACAACTAAAAAGAAACACAACAAAAAGAAAAGCTCTGCAACAAACTAACTAGACAAGCGCCAACAACCCTAGGGACAAACGTATAGTAGAGTGCTCTTTTAACGTGTATTTATTACATGACATGTGTCAGTAAACTATAAACTATATGTGAATGACTCCATAAACCGAGCCAAATAATGTCTCCATAGCAAAACCGTGCTATTCCATACCCAATTCATGAGTGCAATCACATATATAATTATATCTTTATCTCATCCATTAATAAAATAATTATACACATTCTCAACTACTCTATATTCTTCCACTCTACTCAGTCCCACTTTTTTGAATAATGCTATTTGTACATTCCCCTTTACACCTTGGTTTACATCCAAGGTGTGTATGTACACATTTACCCTTAATGCACAATTAATTGTGCATTAAGCCCCTGTTTGTTTTGTAGGATTAGGCAGGATATCCTGCTTAATCCTGGCCTAATCCTATGTTTGGTTCACTGTATTAAGGCCCGCGGGATTGAGTCGGCCCGGTATAAAAAAATGAGTTATCCCATGAATTCAGGATAATTGAATCCCCCCTTTTACATGGGATTAGTCTAATCCTGAGAAGCTAAAGTCGAAATTACCCTCATTTTAATAATTTTTGGACTGTTTTGACCTTCCCTATAACATAAATTACAACTAGACCTATAATCAGTTTTTCCATTGAATGTGTTCAATACAGAACATTATTCAAATTACAAAACATTATTCAAAGCTAACGAAGCCGGTGGCTTGCAATTTTTTTTTTTAAATCATATTACTTATTTTTCTTTACATCATATTACTTATTCAAATGTTTACGTAATCAATACATTATTGAGTTTTGCATTTACTAGGTATAAGAGCAAACTTACCCCTAATAGGTCTAATTATTCAAAACTTACTAATATTTTTTTATTATAAAAACATACTATCTTTCATTCTAATTAAATAAACCATAGCTTGCTTGAAGGTAAGTGCAAGGCGTAGTGAATCATTTTTTTAATATGAAATTAATTATTTTAGATTTTTTCAAAATATATATAACCATTAACAAGTAATTACAAGTTCATATAAAACATGTTTTCAATATTACAATTTATGGTTGGTAAAAATTTTCACCAATATGTAAACTTTAATTTTTTATTACTAGTATATTTGTCCTGTACTAGACATATTAAAGGCTCACTTTCATCTTTGGTTTATGATATCTTACACTATTTTATATCTAGCAATAAAGCATACAACATTAACCCGTTTAGTCACATGGGTAATAAAGTAATTTACACCATTATGTTTTATATAATTACTTTTTTTTTATTTTTTAAACATAAAATTATCCTAAGCCTATCCTATGTAACAAACGTAGAATAATATTAGTCCAAACAGTACAATCCTATACTATTGCACTATTTTAATCCAATCCCATCCCACCAAGCAAACACACACTAAGGGTAAATGTGTACATACACACCTTGGATGTAAACCAAGGTGTAAAGGGGAATGTACAAGTAGCATTGTCCCACTTTTTTCTAATGTAATAGTAATTCACTTACATATTTATAACTCTCAGTCATTTATTATTTACTATTTCTCCATTATATCCTAACTACTTATTATTTTATATTAAATTAAGTAATTAATTCCGAAATTACATTTCATTCTTAAATGACAAAAAAAAAAATCATTCCAAGATGAAATTAGACCCTAATATTACTGGATTTGTTCCCTAGCCAGGCCCCAAGCTCACATGCTTGGCCGCCCCGCCTCACCCAACGTCAAATCATTTGCTCCCATTAATTAATATTATTTCAAGTACAAATTTGCAGTATTAAAGTAAATTAATTACACTTTCTTTCCAAATTACAGAAAAAATTCAATCAAAAATATATATTTTTCCATTTTCTGCTTCTCACACACGTTCACATTTTAATAAATCATCACCTGCTCACAGTGAAAAAAGCTTGATCAGATTTCAGATTTTTTTTTTTTTTTTTTTTTTCCTGAATTGCTTAATCGATTTCTGTAATCTGGAAAAACCTTTCTCAGGGCATCAGGTAAATGGTGTGCATATTCAATCATGCACGGATAAACTTTCACAGCACACAGTTACACGCTTTGTTGCGGGTCTGATTTCATGGATATTTGGTGAAACAGGGCAGATCTAGGGTTTAAATTTCCAATTTTTTGTCTTCGTTTATGTGGTGTTTGTGGAGTCCCTGAGATTATGTGCGCAGATTGATGTATTTGTTTTATGTCTTCGCAGTGGAGCTGCATTTGTCGATTTGCTTGCGTTTTGTGTAAAAAGGTGGAATGAGGTAAGGAGATGTTAATGCTTCGTTTGCTCATATGGGTTGTGTACATACAAGCGTGATTTTTGTTGAAAATTGCGTTTTTTTTTTCAATTATAGATATTGAGACATTGGATCGTGAGAGCCGACTCAAGATGAGCGAGGGCAAGCAGTATCAGCTGGGGACGATTGGAGCGTTGAGTCTTTCGGTGGTTTCGTCGGTGTCGATCGTGATCTGCAACAAGGCACTGATCAGCACTCTTGGCTTCACGTTTGGTGAGACATTTTATGTGTTCCAATCATCATGAATAAAAGACTAGAAGAGTAAAACAATAATATTAGTGTTTATAATATTTGTTAGTATCACGCTTTGAACATCAGTATTTTTGTTTCTTTCTGTCGCTTTTCCCTTTTTCATAATTGTTTGACCTTGAGCGTTTATTGTCTGTTGTTCAATTCATGGTAGCATGCGAATCGTATAGTGGGCGAGTGGTATGGTGAAAATTACTTTAAACGTCTTTTTTCTTTCTTCTTTTCTCTAGTTTGTATTACTTGTAGAATCAATTGACACTTTGACAAGCGAAACCTATTTGCATTTATGATGTTTCTGGTTTGGAATTCTTCATTTTCTTTATTCGTTTGATTTGATTAGGGCGTTATGTATTCGAGAATGAAGGTTTTCTTAATGGAGCCATAATATTTGCTAGGAAATTTTTGCATAGTTTAGGTGTGAATGAATGTGTTAAAACTATGCGGGCATGGAAAATGAGGTCCATTTTCTAAGTAAATGGTAGCGATTTCCTTTTTAATCTGTTTATCAATCTCCAAGGACAATTCCGTTTTTCATTATTTTCCTCATTGAATATTACAATGCTTGCATTTATTGGAAGTTACCGTGTGATTTGTCGTTTCTCGCAGCAGTTACCCTTTCTAGACTTTGCTAGGTTAAGTTGCACTATTAACCTTATTTTTTGTTCTCAGCTACTACTCTGACTAGCTGGCATCTCCTTGTTACATTCTGTTTTCTTCATATTGCTCTATGGATGAAATGGTTTGAGCACAAGCCTTTTGATCCTAGAGCTG